AAACAAGGGTGGGCTGTATCCTGAGTTAAAGAACCTGCTCCTGGACCTAGAATAAGGGGGCGCTGGGGAGGGGAGACAAGGGACACCCCCTCCCTCAATCTCGATTGGACAAGTCCCTGGGGATTCAAGGGGATATTTATTTTCTCAAATTCAGATTAAGGGGGCCCAGGTCGCCGGGTTGTTTCTCATGGACACAGGAGCCAAAGTCACGATTTTCTAATGGAAGCACCCCCCCAAGGGGGGGGCGCCCTGTTGTACTAAAAGGAGTAGGGGGAGGGGCAATCTGGGGAAGAGAAATTGAAGCAGTAGTGAAGTTAGGAAAGCAAGAGGTCTCCATGGTGGTGACCGCTACTTGCCACCCGCTCTGGATATTAGGAGCCAATGTCCTAAGCCATTGTGTAATAGATGGCCCCCACCGGACAGTAATGGCAGTGGGAAAAGTAGACCCGATGCCAAAAACTGGGCCTTGGGTCCAATCAGAATGGGACATTAGAAATACTGGGAAGGAGGTTTGAGTTGAAATGGAGAAAGGAGTGAAACCATGTTTTGTGCGCCCTTACCCCTTGAAACCCAAAGCTGAACAGGGGGTAAGTGAAATGCTTCAGGGGCTATTGCAAGCTGGGCTGGTGGAGCCCACTATCTCCCAGTGGAACTCCCCTTTATGGCCCATGTGTAAGGCTAGTGGAAAATGGAGAATGGTAATAGACTATCAAGAAGTAAATAAGAGAACAAAGAAATTAGGTCCAGTGGTAAGCACCCTGCCCGAGATGTGGGACGCAGCCCAAAAGGCAAGTGCCTCCCATTTTACAGTAATTGACATTTCAAACTGTTTCTGGGCAGGTGTTAAGAGTTGAATGGAGCCATGCAATTAGACCTTAAGGCTAGAGATGCCTTGCAGAGGCACAGTATGGCTGAGAGAGCCTTTTGAACCTGAGGGCATAGTTGAAACTAATGGGCTGTTGGGGACCCCTGTTGAAGATTTACTTGGACTGGAGCTCTCTCTAAGGCCCATGGATAGCCTCCCTTATTCACTATTTAACAGGATCAAGACATGGTAGGCAAGCAATCGAGGGAGGGCAATATTAGAGTCAGAGCTGGGCAGGAGCTGCACAGCCATCAGGAGCTATCACACCTGCCCTTGGGCTCGGATCTGCAAAAGGGAGACACAATATTTAATAGTGTCTTTTAGGATATTATTTCCTCTTTGGAAACAGACTTCCCATGTGACTGCGAATAACTCATTTAACTTCTGCATGCTTCCTTTTTTTCCTGTCCCAAAAGTGGACGTGATGGGAATATATTAGGGTTTTCTAACACATTTTAAAGCCATTGATAAGGTAATATTTTTACTGATTCATCCCAAGCTTTCTCCAGCATTCAAGTGTCTGTATATTCCTACACAAGCAGGTCCAGGAAGGTGATCCTCCCCCTATATGCGGCATTGGTCAGGCCACAGTTGGAGTACTGCATCCAGTTCTGGGCGCTGCACTTCAAGAGGGATGTGTCTAGCGTTGAGAGGGTCCAGAGAAGGGCCACTCTCATGGTCAAGGGGCAGCAAGGCAGGCCCTACAAAGAGAGGCTAAAGGGCTTGAACCTATTCAGCCTTCATAAGAAAAGGCTGAGAGGTGATCTGGTGGCTGTTTACAAACTCACCAGGGGGGACCAGCGGGAATTGGGGGAAGCTATGTTCTCCCGGGCATCACCTGGGGTTACTAGGAATAACAGCCACAAATTGTTAGAGAGAAGGTTCAGGCTAGACATCAGGAGGCATTACTTTACAGGTAGGGCTGCCAGGCTCTGGAATGGGCCCCCAAGTGAGGTGGTACTCTCTTCTACCTTGGGGATCTTCACGAGGAGTCTGGACAGATATTTGGCTGGAGTGATATGATTTGGCTGGGGTGATATGACCATTCCTGCCTGGGGTGGGAGGTCGGACCTGATGATCTGTTTAGGTCCCTTCCGACCCTAAGAACTATGAAACTACACAATCTAGATAAGTTGCCTGCCTTTGCCAGATTCATTACACAAAAATACCTATTTGCTTTTGAAGGATCTTTACATGTACAATTGTCTTTGCATGTATAAAAATGTAGCATTGTTTCTTGTACTATCATTAACATATATTTAAAGGTTATGTGTTTATCCCTTGAACAGTTTGGCATTATTATTAGCTTAAAAACCACAGCTACAAAAGGTCTTTTATGTGGGGTCCATGAAATAGCTAAATACCTGCATGGCATCAAGCTGCAGATCTTCAGAGAACTGGGTATGGGTGGGGAAAGCTATCAAATGAGAGACAAATTAGAAATGCAGGGTGGAAATATTGTTACTTGCTTATGGCTATATTCATAGAATTGTAGTATCATAGAAAATTAGGTTTGGAAGGGACCTCAGGAGGTCACCAATCCAACCTCCTGCTCAAAGCAGAACCATCCCACCAACTATGTCATCCTAGCCAAGGCTTTGTCTAGCTGGATCTGATAAACCTCCAAGGATGGAGATTCCAGAACCCCTCTGGGCAACCTGTTCCAATGCTTTACTACCCTCCTTGTGAGTTTTTCCTAATACGTAACTTAAACTTCCCTTGCTGCAACTTAAGATCATTGCTCCTTGTTTTTTTTTATGCGCCACCACTTAGAGCAGTCTAGCTCCCTTCCCTTTGGAACCCTCCTTCAGGTAGTTGAAGACTGTTATTAAACCCCACCTCCAGTCTTTTCTTCTCCAGGCTACATAAGACCAGTTCCCTCAGCCTCTTCTCATAAGCCATGAACCCCAACCCGCTAACCATTTTTGTTGGCCGCTTTGGACTCTTTCCAATTTATCCACTTCCTTTCTATAGTGGGGGCCCCAAAACTGGACACAGTACTCCAGATGTGGCCTTACCGGTGCCAAATAGAAGGGAAGAATCACTTCCCTTGATCTGCTGGTAACTCTCCTACTAATGCAATTAGCCCAGTATGCTATTAGTCGTCTTTACAATAAGAGCACACTGTTGACTTGTATTCAGCTGACTGTAACCCCAGGTCCTTTTCTGCAGAACTGCTGCTTAGCCACCCAGTCCCCACTCTGTACCTGGTACATGGGATTGATCCATTCTAAGTGCAGGAATTTGCCCTTGTCCTTACTGAACCTCATGAGATTTCTTTTTGTCCAATCCTCTAATTTGTCTAGGCCTCTAAATCCTAGCCCTAGTCTCCAGTGTATCTACTGTTCATGGTGTCATCTGCAAACTTGCTGAGGGTGCACTCCATCCCATCCTCCAGATCACTGATGAAGATATGGAACAAAACCAGTACTAGGACCAACCCCTTGGGCACTCCACTTGATACTGACTGCCAGCTAGACATTGAGCCATGGATTACTACCCTTTGAGCCCAGTGATCCAGCCAGCTTTCTATCCACCTTACAGTCTTTTCATCCAACCCATACTTCCTTGGCTTGCTTGCAAGAAAGTTGTGGATGACCATGTAAAAAGCCTTGCTAAAGTCAAAGTATATCCACTGCTCTCCCCGCATCCACAGAGTCAGTTATCTTGTCATAGAAAGCAATCAGGTTGGTCAAGCATGACGTGTGAATCCATGCTGACTGTTCCAAATCACATTCTTCTCTTCCAAGTGCTTAGAAATGAAATTCTTGAGGACCTTCTCCATGATTTTTCCAGATAAGGATGACTAGTTTATAGTTCCCTGAATCCTCCTCCTTTCCTGTCTTAAGATGAGCACTGTATTTGCCCTTTTCTAATCATCTGGGATCTCTTATCACCATGAGTTTTCAAATATAGTGGCCAGCAGCTCTACTATCTCATTGGCTAACTTCCTCAGCCGCCTTGGGTGCATTGCATCCGGCCCCATGGGCTTATACACATCCAGATTTCTAAATAGTCCCTAGCCTGTTCTTTCATCATTGTCACTTGCTTACCTTCTCCCCAACCTGTGCTGCCAGGTGCAGTTGTCTGGTAGCTGATCTTGCCTGTGAAGACTAAAGTAAAAAAGGCATTGAATACTTTAGCCATCTCATCTGTCACTAGGTTGCCTCCCCCATTCATTAAGGGACTCATACTTTCCCTGATTTTCCTCTTGTTGCTGACATACTTATGGAAACCCTTCTTGTTATCCTTCACAACCCTTGCTAGCTGCTACTCCAGTTGTGCTTTGGCCTTCTTGATTTCTTCCCTACATACCTGAGCAATTCTTTTATACTCCTACCTTGTAGTTTGTCCACGTTTCCACTACTTATCAGCCACCTTTTTGTGGTTTAGTTTACTGGAGAGTTCCCTGCTAAGCCAAGCTGATATTCTGCCATATTTGCTAGTCATCCTGCGCATCAGGATGATTTGTTCCTGTACCCTGCTGGACTCCTCTCCCCCTCAGTCTGACTTCCCAGGGGATCTTGCTCATCAGTTTGCTTTAGTGAGTTGAAGTCTGCTTTTCTGAAGTCCAGGGTCCTTACTCTACTGCTGTCCTTCCTTCCTTTCCTTAGAATCCTGAACTCAATCATCCTAAGGTCACTGCTGACCAAGTTGCTATCTATTGCTACATTCCCCATCAATTTTTCCCTGTTTATTAGAAGCAGGTCAAGATGAACACAGTTGCTAGCTGGCCTTCTCAAAACTTGCACCTGGAAGTTGTCCCCAGCACTGTCCAAAAACTTCCTGGATTGCCATATTGTCATGGCTCCTACTCAAGTGCCTGTAAGGGGAAGGAAGAGAGGAGATTGACAATCTCTTAACTCCCCTTATTGGCCTTGCTCAGATTACAGTTGCAGTAATAGCAGCAGAGTGGGGGCTAATTGTCCAGAAAGTTCTCCCAACTTGTCCAAAGCTCCCCTCCCCACTGCTCAGTGATAAGACCCAGGAAAAGGTTGCATTTAAGCAACTGGGGACTCTGAAGAGTGTGCATTAGGCCTAGGGGAGAGGCTGTTGGAATGAAGACTTTAGTTACTGCTTTCAGAGCATACCTAGATACTCTGTCAGGGGCAATGCCTAGACTCTGTTCAGACTCAGTTATGAAGCATGCTGAGGCTTGGTATATTGGGACCTGAATTGACAGTATGGTTAATAGTTATTTATTAATTTTTTTTATTGACTATA